GCGAAGCTGTTCCTGTGTTTGTGGTGTGGGCCTCTGCACCGATACTCTTTTCCCAAGTGAGGAAAAAACAACGGTGTGGCGTTGGTGGTCAGGAAGTTGTCACGAGGCTTAAACGTGTCACTGGAGTTTCTGAAACGAAGCATCCATTCATCGCCAACGCTTCGGTGTTTGTGTGTGCCTTTGTGTGAGGGAGCACCGGCGCGTGCCAGCTAGCAGGCGCAGTAGCTAGACGAGCGCCTTTCCATTTCCCCGTAAAACCAGAGCGACGCAACGGGATGATTGCTTTTCCAGCAGGGTGACGGATGCCAGAACATCGATTGGCTCCGCTGGTGGAAGAGGAATATTAGCTGTTGTCAGACACTTAGCGAATAGTTTAATTGAGGTGATACACACTCATCCGTCGACTCTGGTGGTGTCCGACATCCCGAAAGCTAAAAACCTCCCATCCGGAACTGTTGAAGCCGCGGTGACTAACCGCCTTGATGAGCCAATCCCTGAGCTACAGTAGACTGTTTAATAGAAGCCTAATTAATTAAAAGTAGGATGAAATGAGATGTAATCGATGCGGTGTGCAGCGTTGCTGCTTTTGTGAGGCGAATAAGAAATCATCCAAGAGATACACAGCTGGTGGTTTTTCCTGGTGTAATAGGAGGATGAAAGTGAGACTTCCAGGATATTTCAAAAAAGATAATGCTCCAGTAGAGTGTGGAAAAGAACAGCAACAATAACACTGCTTCTCTAATGTCTGCAGCCGAGATTTATTACACCACTAACAGGCTAATGTTCAAAAAAGCAGCTGAATGCCTTTGAAGAAGGCAGAATTTTTCACCGTTTCTCTTCGTTTTAAAACTCAAACTAACTCGCGTCCACATGTAAAGCTGGAAATACAATTATTTCAGCTTTAAGCTTTAACGCCTTGGTGGTCATTAATACTGCATTTGTCCATGTGCATGATACGTTATAGGTTTTTGAAAAGATCATGTAATGCACATGTATATTTGTGTTTGATTTGCACTTATTTTGATCAACAAATAGCATAGCATTCAAGTGTTTTGATGTTTGAAGCAACGAGTCAGTTTTATGCTGCCGTGCAGGATCGTCAGAGTCCTCCAAAACGTTTAAATTTCAACGAGACAAAAAGGACGAGCCCCCAAATCATGTTACGACCCGGCTCGAAA